GTTTTTACAATGTTGTACGATATATATGTGCTCATACGTGTGTATATACATGCATGTAAACACACTCCTGTGAGAAAGTTTTCCACATTTCTGCTCATGTTGACAACCAGTACATAAATCATTGCCATGTTAAGCACACATATGGAAACACACATACATGTGTACAACATACATACACGTTCACAAAGAAAGAAGCCCAGAATGATACAAAGCCATCAAAATACAGGTAATTCATGTTCATCCATGCAAAATAATGCAAACAAGCATTATCGTTAGCAAGATGAAACACATCTTTCCTATCAACAAAAGCTTCAACTGCAGTTGTTTGTTCTTCTTTTAGAGAAAATATCAGTGTGTATTGTCTTATAAGCCAAGCCTAGTTACAGTATGAAAGGTCTATCTTTGAGTCTTGCACAGCTATTGGCATTTGTGCAGTTGTTTCTTTTCAGAAATGTTACAAAATACAGCAGAATTTAACTCTCTCTCTTTTTTGCATGTCAATATTGGTAAGCCTGTCAGCTAAAGTGGGAGGAAAGAATACAGACTGTGATATCCGCTCAAAAAATTGCTTTTGCATCCCTTGGAACTTCCACATCTTAAAAGGATGAGAAGTGAAAAGTGGTTTTCTCTTGGTTCTGGGCATACAGCAGTACAGAGGAGAGGGCAAAGCGGAGGCCAAGTTTTTAAATGCAACACAAAGAACCGAGTGAATGTCTTTCACATTAGACATGACAGTTTTGCTCTCTGGAATACATCAGCCATAATAAGCCTTTTTCTGTTGTCCCTGCTGCCATATCAATGCACACACACACACTCTGCACACATGCACACACTGCCTCACAGTAAATCTTTACCATATACCATCACTTCTTTCGTAAGCATTTTGTCTTCATCAGCGGCTAAAATATGGTGTATAGGGTTACAGCAGACAGGCATGGGGATGGCTTCAGAGCAATAAGATAGCAGTAATGGTGCACCATCATTTAAGAGAATGTAATAAGTGAATATCTAATAAGCCTGTAAAAGATGCTTAACCCCTGAAGCTCTGAGGTCAGGTATAGAGATAGGAGCGTAAGCTGATTAAGGAAGGTTTCTTCTCACGTTGCGGTCATCACAGGATTGACCAACTCCTGACCCCGCTGTTAGGAGTGCGGTTACCTTAGCCCAGAACCGCTCCTATGTTTGGATAAATCCACTATTTATGGTGTTTGATAACAGCTTGTGCCTGATATGAAAAAGTAATAGGTTATGAATCTAAGTCTGGAGATTATGTAGGAGTTAATGGAACACCAAAGATTTAGGGTTTTACTTCGTTATTCACCTTTGCTCGACATTTGTCACCTTGGTTCCTAACTGAAAGCTATGAGTAGTGCCTCACACCATAATTCTAATATTGGGGAACGTCTTAAGGAAACAATTGCAAGGTATACTGCCATGAGTTGTAGGCTCTAGGCTTTGATACAGGGATACGGTTCCTGAAAGCACTAAATGGTTCATGACATTGTTTATATTGATCTTTTAAATGATTTGTTGTTTGCTGATTGATTGACAAGAAGATATGCTATCTCTCTGGGGATTCTTAACTAAACTGAGGCAGTCGATTTGAAATGTGTTCCCCACCTGTTTCTCGTGTGATGACATAGTTTTATCCCCAAATGAGAGACTTGGAAAAAGACAGGTGAAATGTGCCATGCTCAAAATGAATGATATCCAGGATTTAAGGTCAATCTCCGTCTCTCTCTGCTTCTTTTCACACTAAAAGGAAAGTGTACACACACACACATACACGCACAGAGAGAGACAGATCCTAGAGCCATTTTCAGGCAGGGCTGCAGAGTGTGTCCTCATTACCGTCTGTGAGTCTGTAGTCACCACTCAGTCACAGCTCCTGCTGCCAGAATGGGATTTTCCCCTCTTTTCTCCTCTGACTCTTCCACCTCTTTTTCACCTTAACTTCTCTTGCATATCGCTTCATCTATTCCTCAGACAGAAAATCATTATCAGTCAGGAAAGACAATTTCCTGCTCCTATGGTCTCTTATACACTGCCAGTCAAAAGTTTTTGAAAACCCTATATTTGAACGTTTTTTGGTTAAATTTCAAGTTCAATTGTCAGTTACTAGTAACTCAAAATTTAATTTGAAATTACGTAGAATGAATTTAAGTCACCACCTGTAGCCATCAGCATAACATATGTAGCCTTCATTTGTTGACCTTGAACATAGTGCTGTATACTGTACGGGTCTCATTACTGTAGAAAGAAAGAATGAACTAAAAGAAAAAAATATAAGATTTGAAAGAATTTGACTAGCAGTGTATGTGAACTGTAAATTGTATTGCGTGCATCTGTGTGCTAGTCTTTTTTCCCCTTACAGTTTAACAGTTTGATAGATTCATAATAAGAAGAATGAAGCACTACTGTAAAACAAAAACAAAAAATACTTTGTATCAACGTGTTTATTTGTGTGCTTCACCAATATCTTACCAAACAAAGGCACTGAGCTCAAATTGCTCCCTCTATTTCTGACAGAGTAAACAAAATTGTTCGACTGTAGTTAAAAGGTTTTCACTGAAAGCTCCTCTCCTTTGCAAAAGTAGCCAACGATTTCCATTTGCCACCAGGAGTAGCTGGAGTTTACAGTCTCCTGATAAAGGATCAAAGGAAGACAGATATTAGACTGTAATGGCGACCAGATGAACTTGTTGATAGAGTACTAAACAAGTCTAAACAGCCTAACACTTGGCTCGTTCAGACGAAGGCATTATCTGACTCTCCAGTTTACCAACTTGGGAGCTTAACAAAATGATGTTTATGGTTATTTGCTCTTCTGTTTGTCCTTGCAGCTATCTCAAACTGCCATATGTTTTCTTTATAGAGTCTGGAGCCTGTAATTCAGATTAGGAAGCGTGTGTGCTTAGGTGAGTGAAGCACAGTAATCAGGAAATGCATGGACAATGTATTCACTTGCACTTCTACATTCACTGTGGTAGGCACCTGTCTGCTTCTATCCTCTCACTTTGTCAGCTTGAAAGAAGTTAAGTTGAAGGGGGAGAAACAGAGACTGGGAGTTGGTGAAGAGGGGAAGTAGAGGGAGTTCTGTTGTTCAGTTCTTGTTAACTATGAAGCTCTCCTTTTTTATTTGATCTCCCTGTTCTCCCAATCGCTCTGCAAGGGGGTTTTAACGGCAGCAATATGTGATTCTTAACATCAGACGAGAGGTCTGAGCCCAGGTAATCGAATTTGGGATCATGTGATTGGACATGACAAGGGGGGCAGGATGGGGAGCCATTGGTCTGCTTGACATATTTCCGATCACACACACACACAAACACACACTAGTTTGTCCATTTTAAGAACACTTTGCCAGGTCACTCACCACTCGTCGAAAAACAACATGGTTACTCCGTGTGCTGTTCACCCATCTGGCCTGATGGAGCTTCTTCCCCATGGTGCTGTTTTACATGTGTAACTTCAAAGCCATGTTACTGCCTGTTCAGCCATAATGTGCTATTATGCATGGCATCTAAGAGCATGCTGGAGTACAAAAGGAACCACATGTGGAGCACTCCAAGTGCCCAAAGCTATATATTACATATGTTACATACTGTACACAAGATTGTGTGTTTGTGTGTGTGTG